AGAAGGCAAGTGTTGGTGGCTTTGTCAGCCCTCCAGGAAGCACCCCAAGGGTCTATTGTGACCATACCACATCACACCGGCTTCCCGCCCACTCTCCCCATGCCGCTACAGAGTCTGCCCCAGAGAGGGGAAAACAGAACTATGGAGGAGGGGTTTCACCACAGTCCTTAGACTTGCCTATGATGAGGATGGCTCAGTAAGCTGTGACCCTTGCTACTAGTAAAATTTGAGAGGCTGGGTGGAGGGTCACAGTGAGCCTTTGAGGCAAGCAGTATCCGCCAAGAAGCGCAGGATCCATGGGGCACAGACAGCTTTGCCACAAGACCTATTCAGGACAGCAGGTAGGCATAAGATTAAGATCCACCAGCTTCAATGGGACTTAATCAGATACATAAAGTCAAGCTTGTATTTAAGCCCTGCTAGGGAGGCTTTCCTGACCCAGGCTCTCTGTTTGCCTTTATTTTTCAGGCAGGATTGCACTGGAGTGGCAGTGAAGTGAAATGTTCCTTTGTGTTTATCTCCATTGGCCTCTTTAGTCCTGAGGTAGTTCCATCCCGGACAGGCAGAGACACTTCACCAGCCTTGCAGGCCATCGATAGCGTTTCAGTGAGGATGGGCCAAGCATTGTATTCCGTTCAAGGCCACGGGCCCTCTGCTCTTGCAAGACAAGCCACAGAAAGGGTTGGTGTTCCTGGTCCCTTCATTTGTTCCTCACCTTCACATGCGATGCGTGGCTCGGATTGCCAGGCTCAGCTGTTAAATAATTATTTTCTCCTGCCTGCAAGCTTTCACAGCAACTGAGGTCAGCACCACCAGCTGGAACTGATGATCAGCATTGGAGGAAGGAATGGAGGCAGTCTGTAGCACGGTTCCTCTGAATTTTCCCTAGCTGCTCAGAGCATTGTGAACAGATTCTGACAGGGATGATGTATGCCAGTAATGAAGGTGGAAGGTTTTCATTTGGAGACACCGAGGCAGGTTAAAAATCAGCGGGGTTGTTTGCACAGATTCTTACCATTCTGTGACAGGGTCCCCCCCCCATTTGTGCTGGTTGTGCCTTGAATTCTCTTGCTCAAACACCGCATGAGCGACAGGTGACTGTGGCTCCATCTTTGTAATTCCATCACTGTAGGACTCCTCCGTCTCTGAGGTGGTGCCCCAAGCTGTAGCCAGACAGCAATCGCCTCACTGCTTTGAGCCATCATACCTATCTAATGCCTGCCTTTTATTCTCTACATTGGGGCTAACTCTACATTGCAGAGATTTTGTGCAAAAACTGTTGGTTTTGTGCAAGAACTCACGGAGTATCCACATTGCAAGAGTGTTTTTGCACAAGTAAATTTACAGTCAATTAGAAGGAGAGGGGTTTTGTGCAATAGTTATTTCTCTTTCTATAAGGAATAAGTCTTTTTGCGCAAGCGCTCTTGTGCAAAAAGGGGTGTATGGATGGAAAACAGGTTGTTTTGTCAGCAAAAACAGCCTATAGTAAGAAGCACAGTTGGTCATTATGTGAATGGCAATCAGAGCTTTCTTGGGAGAGAGCGTCCATGCAGTCTGGACGCTCTCTTGTGCAAAAGCGCATTGCTTTTCCGATGCACTTCTGCAGTGCGGACGTGCTCTTGTGCAAGACGTTTCTGCGAAAGATCTCTTCTGCAAAAAGCGTCTTGTGCAAGAAGCCTGCATTGTAGACGTAGCCTGGGCGTCTATAAAGATGCAGAGTGATTTTTAAGTTGCTTTTACTTGCTTGAAAGTCCTGTTGGGCCTCCCTGGGTTAAACCCGAGACCCGCTCATTAGATTTATACTTACAGGCTCTCACTCTACCTGCTGCTTGAGAACCAAATCATTGCCAATAAAAAGGCAGATTATGTTCCGAGTATATTCCTTCACCCACCACTGAAATGCAGCTGCCTCTGGGTTTGACAGCAGCCATCCATGTATGCCAGTAGAACATCAGATTCTTTTTGTGAGGAAGTGAAGTAAATTGCATCCAATTGATTACTCAGAGGGGAATTGGAGGGAAAAAAGATGCTCTTTTCCAAGTTGGAATTTCAATGTAGCATACTGAGATTAATACTCCAGCTGTTGCAACAAGTGACATATGAGTTTTAATAATCTCAGATGGTCAGGGTTTGAGATTTACCTCAGATAAAAAAACATCACCCTCTCTCAGGAAGCATGTCATATCCAGCTCCAATAAGTTTGTATTTTAGGTACAGGTGTTTTGATTTTTTTGTTTACCAAAAAGACAATACAGAGAGATTCTTGGAGCTGAAAAACAGCATATTATTCCCCAGGGGCAGCTAGCTACCAGATGTTAGTGAGCAAATAAAAGGCAAAGTAAACATTTTCCGATACAATGATACCAGGGTTCTCTTAGGCTTCGACTTGGTGCCTGCGAACTCACATCCGTTCTGTTTCTTTCAGTGTTGTACAATTTCACTACAGCACGGGGGTGAGGTCACAAGAATATGAACGGTAGGCATAATTGTCCTGTCTCTGACAGGGTTCTAAGTCATGAATACATCACCTCGACACCATGGGCATTGGTAAGTGTGTGTTAGGGGGAAAATCATGCTGGGAAAATGCAGAGTTCTCTATATCGCTGGGTATTGTAGACTCACATCGCTGTCCATCTGTGGCATCCCTGCTCTCATGCCATTCACATGTGCTCACTCTTTGAAAGAGTCCCATATTTTCAGTTATTTTTATGAAATAACTTTGGGTATGTCTACACTACCACCCTAGTTCGAACTAGGATGGATAATGTAGTCATTCAAAGTTGCAAAGAAAGCCCAGGATTTAAATATCCCGGGCTTCATTTGCATCTTGCCGGGTGCCGCCATTTTTAAATCCCCATTAGTGCGGACTCCGTGCCCACGGCTACACGTGGCATGGAGTAGGTAGTTCGAATTAGGCTTTCTAATTCGAACTACCGTTACTCCTCATGGAGTAACGTGGAACAAGGTGTAACGGTAGTTCGAATTAGAAAGCCTAATTCGAACTACCTACTCCATGCCACGTGTAGCCGTGGGCACGGAGTCCGCACTAATGGGGATTTAAAAATGGCGGCACCCAGCAAGATGCAAATGAAGCCCAGGATATTTAAATCCCAGGCTTCATTTGCAAGTTCATATGACTAGTTCAAACTAGGAGGGTAGTGTAGATATACCCTTTCTTACTGGTCTTCAACACCTTGATTCCTGAACATTTGGGGGGAGGGGGTTGGTGGTGGTTCAGCTTATATACAGAGAATTGGTTCTGCTTAGACAAACCTCCTTAAGAGGGTAAAGATGACTGGTGGGTGGATTGGGTAAATACTATGTAATCCTTGTGCTAAGCAAGCTATTCCTTAACTTCCTTAAAAATCCCTAAATGAATTGATACCGGCATGCGTGAGTCAAACAGCCACAAGGCGCCTTTATGATCATGAATTAAGAATTCCCCATTGACTCCAGTGGGCTTTCGATCAGGCCTAGAAAGCAATTCGGTAGCAGTAAGTGCTAATTAAATGCTTATGGGATTTTCCACTTGTTGCCACAGTGCGCATCAGATCCTGCTATGGTTTCCTTATACAAACAGCGAATCATGTTCATCTGTCTGGAGGGTGTTTAGATCACAGCCAGGGGACCCACCGAGAGCAAACGTGAGAAGCGGGAAAGCAGTGACACATGCTGCATCTGGAACCGGAACATAGGGTGGCATTTGGCCTTACTGCTGTGTGTTGGATGGGGGGGAGAGGGGGTAGGGGGTGAAGTGGGTGCTTAGGCAGTGGAGTGATGACTACTCCGGTCAGTTGACATGGCTGCAAATGCAGCCCAGGTGCTTGTGTTAAATGAAGAGCTTTGGAGACGATGAGCAAGTCAGAGCTGAACAAAGGTTCTTCTTTTTAATCACTCCTCTTGGGGGAAAGCATGGGAGTGGGGAGGAGAGTTACTAGTAACACAGCTGTCTTTGGCATCAGACCTTCCCAAGGGGCAGCACATTCCACCCCCACCTGCTCTTCATTTGCTCACATGTTCACCGCACATCCCTGCTTGAACAGCTCCAGGGGAAACCTGCATCCCTCTCAAAACAGCAAAGGCCACAGCTGTTCACTCTTCTCCATCTTGACCAACCAGGCCTCTCCCTCCTGAGTCCTCTGATAGCAGAGTCTCCCCTGTCACCTTTGCCTCCAGCTCCTTGTTCTGAGATAAAGAAAGAACAATAGAGAGGGGTAAACTGAGGCAGAGTGAGATTCCATGTTTTGTCCAAGGTAACACAAGAGGATTGGTAAGGCTGGTAATGGAACACGTGATATGGGCACCAAGACCCACCCCGGCTGTACGTGAAGATTAAACGGGCATGTGTTGCATGAACTTTCAAACACTGTCTGCATAGTCACTGCCTGTAAAAAAAAATAAAAAAATTCCGGTTTACAGTTGACATTATTCCAGCTGACTCTCCGGCAAATCCATTAGTTGCTTTGGCAGATTTCGAAATGAATTGTTTGGGGGAAAAAAGAAATAAGCAGAAGAGCAAAACGTTTTTAAACAGTAGGAAAAAGCAAAGATGCAGCCAGCATCCTGCTGATAAAATAGAGTCCTGAAGATTGGATTGTACACAGGACATTCTGTCCATCTGCTTGAATTCAGAACCCTTCCAGAGGGAATAATATTCCATATGAGAATTTCTTCCTCACGTCACACTATTCTGTGTCCTAGGGGGAGAGAGAAATCCCTTCAGCTTTATGCTGTATAAACCCAGAGCTGCTGAATGGAATGTAAAACCTGTAGGGAATGAATGATGGAGTGGTGCACACACGGATAATGATCTTTGAGGCAGGAAGATTAAAGAAGGCAGAAGATCTTGGCTGGGGAGAGAAGCAGAATGTGGCTTCAGGGATTCCAAGGGTGGAAAACACAGCTGTGATCACAGAGTTTGAAACTTCCTGTGTAGCATCACAGGCCATAGAACCTCCCCAAGATTCTCTTTATGCCACCTGCATTCTGCTTACAAGAATTGGTTCTCTATTACTGCCCTCACAGGCATTCCCTACCGTCATCTCTCAGGCCAAGTCTGTGGGGGGTTCGGTTGTGGACCCTCAACCAGGAGTAAGGCGCTCCTTTGTGCACCAGGGTGGAAAGATTTGACTCCATGACACTGCTGCGTCAGGATGGAGGGCGGGCAGAAAGTAGGCAGAATCTTGGCTTCTCAGCCCTGCAGACATGCCAGCTATAACAATATGGTTTTTCTGTAGCCATATGGGAAGGCCTGTAGCCATAACTGGTAGGCCTAAACTAAAGCCTTCTTCTGCAGCCAGACTGAAGAGCAGCAGCCATTAGCTGTAAAGCCTGGAGACACATACTCACAGTCCATCTAAATTACATTAAAACAGTGTCACACTAGGCTGTGAGAAGAAGATCCTGTCCTAAGGGTACCCACTGTCACCAGATAAAGAAATAGATCTCAAGATGGGTAGAGAAAAATTAGTTAACAGCATTTTGTCTGGCAAGAAACTGCTTATCAATAGTTGAGGTTATGGAATCCTCATTCTCAGGAGCGGCCTGAGGCCGGCTGCAGCAGCTGGCACCCCAGGCAGAAGGCGCGATCGGCGCCCCTGCCTGCACGGCCGTCAATGGCTGTGACGTCATCATCGGGCGCCCGAGCCAGCGGCGCCCTAGGCAACTGCCTAGTTTGCCTGGGCTCACAGGCTACCCTTGCTCATTCTATGATTATTGTCCTCACTTTCCTATTGTTGGTCTGTGTGAGCTATGTCTGGTTTGTAACTGTTTCCGTCTGCTGTATAATTAATTTTGCTAGGTGTAAATCAACTAAGGTGGCAGGGCATGACTGGTTAGGTAATTCTGTTGCAGTGTGTTATGACTGGTCAGTAAAGTTATACTAACATCATTGGTTAAGGTATACAGCTATACTATTAGGCTACGTCTACACTGGCCCCTTTTCCGAAAGGGGCATGTTAATTTCACAGGTCGTAATAGGGAAATCCGCGGGGGATTTAAATATCCCCCGCGGCATTTAAATAAAAATATCCGCCGCTTTTTTCCGGCTTTTAGAAAAGCTGGAAAAGAGCGTCTACACTGGCCCCGATCCTCCGGAAAAAAAAGCCCTTTTCCGGAGGATCTTATTCTTACTTCAAAGGAATGCTCACTTCAAAGGGGGTGCTCACTTCAAAGTAGGAATAAGATCCTCCGGAAAAGGGCTTTTTTTTCCGGAGGATCGGGGCCAGTGTAGACGCTCTTTTCCAGCTTTTCTAAAAGCCGGAAAAAAGCGGCGGACGTTTTTATTTAAATGCCGCGGGGGATATTTAAATCCCCGGCGGATTTCCCTATTACGACCTGTGAAATTAACATGCCCCTTTTGGAAAAGGGGCCAGTGTAGACGTAGCCTTAAGGGTAAGCTAAGCAGGACTCAAGTTTCACTATATAAACTGAGGTCTGAGAAGAAGAACCAAGCAAAAGGAAAGGAGGAAAGGAAGACCAAGAAGAAGGAGGGAAGACCTGGAAGAACTCACCTCCAAGACACAACCTCAGACCAGAACTGCCAGGATTCCTCTGCATGACCGTGACATGTAGCAGCGAGGATCCAGAGAGACTGACCTTGCCTGGCCAACAGGGGAAGTCTGCCTGCCGGTATCAGGATTGGTGAGCAGGGGTATTTTGCTTGCTTGGGTATTGTCAATAATAGAGAATAAGGATATTACTGTGTGAGGGTCTTTCAGTGGCAGAAGATTCTGCAGATCCGCAGGAAGTTTCACCCTGAGCCCTAAGAATTGGGTAAGGGTGGGTGTGAAAATTAACAGGGTTGCACCTTGAGCCCTCGGAACTGGGTAAAGGTGGGTGTCCCTACAGTGTGGAAGGGATAGAGAAATGTGTGCAGGTAACACCAGCCAGCTGTTGAGGCAAGCCAAGGAATGAGGCTATGACAGGTGTGGAGCTAACGCATATTTTGCTCCCCAGCCTCTATCCACTTAGAGCATGGGATTGTCTGAATCACAGGCTGGGGCTGTCAGTGCTTGTGTCAAAGCGACAGCAGAGCCCTTGGCAGATCAAACCTATCTGGAATTCAGTCTAATTGGATATTTGATAAAAAAAAAAAATCTTAACAGCTTTCTAGGCTGCTGGGCAGGAAGGGTTAGATCAGCTTTATTCTTTAGAAACTCAGCACTGTGGAACAGAATGTCCTCGGCAGGTCATGTATTCTGAAAAAGCCAGGACTGGAATGTGATTGTCTTGTGATTACTGTAAAAAGAAAAATGCTACCTGGAACACGGCCATTTATGATTGCTCATCAAATTGACAAGGTGTTATGAGTAGGGATGTTAAATTTTGATTAGTCAACAAATCGAGTAGTCGGTGGAATTTCTATCGACTACTCGATTAGTCGATAACGGGGGTGCTCACTATTCCGCCGCACCTCTGCCTTTGAAATATACAAGAGCCACATGCATTTCAAAGGCAGAGGAGCAGCGGGGAACCCATGCAAGCAGGGACGAAGAAGTCCCCACTCACATGGGATCCCATCTGCTTGCACCTCTCCCTTTGAAATGTACAAGAGCCGTAGGCGGCTCTTGTACATTTCAGAGGGAGAGGCACAGCAGTTGGGACACCTCTGCCTCCCCTGCTACCTGCACAGACGGTGCTGGGGGGAACCGGCTTTTAAGCTGGCTCCCCCCCGGACTCCTGCTTCCCCCCATTGCTGCCTCTCTCTGATAGAGGCAACAAGGGTGGGGAAGCAACTAGTCAAGACACTACTCGACTACCCGATAAACATATGCTTATCGGGTAGTCAACTAGTTGCTTACCACAATCATATACATCCCTAGTTGTGAGACCATAGAGAGATCCACAATCCTTTTAGGCTGCCTGTTTGGTACTTCTGCATACCTCATCCATCAGACTTTCTCCCCCAAGTCCCATTCTGGCATGATAATGTCTGATTGTGTTTCCATGGACCATGAGATGGGAGTTGTAAATTTCCTGCTATGCACTACAGAGCATGTTCTACTTGAAATAGAAGGAAATATTCTGGAGGAAATCAAAGGACTCAGTGAGCAATAGCTCCATGCCAAGAGAATGTTGGTATTACGATCCCAGAGCGTTCAGAGAAAGGAGTCCTATACAATGCGCTTTGATTTATTGGCTCCCGCCTCTCCAGACCGCATCACCTTTTTTCTAGTGGCTATGCAGGTTGTTAGAAAACTCATAAAATTGTTCTCGGCCAACAGCCTTCCCTGTGCAAAAGCTCTTCCAGTATAATTCACAGAAATGTACTTACCCATAATCTCTTAAGAGAGATTGCACAACTCAGACTGCCTGTGAGCCAAACCACAGGTGGGAAAAAAAGTCACAGGCACATCTCAGCCACAGGGCTGATAAAGCAATTGCTTTAACGGTATAATATGAATGACCATTTTAATTCATCGAGTAGTCCTGTGGCACCTTAGAGACAAAATATATATAGTATTGTGATGGGGTGTGATCACAGAAGACCATTGGGGGTGCTTCCTGGGGTGATGACAAAGTCATTGACATGCGCCTTCTTGCTCTCTGGAACTTCTCACTGCCTTGTTCTGCTGGGCCAGCTCAGCTGGTCTCCCTAAGCTGAGGCACAGAGCTGATATCACTCCTCCTCCCCTCTACTCCCTCCACCTCCCCTTCCCCCCCGCAAGAGCAATGCAGACACTGAAACTTTTCAGGTCCAAGGAAAGTGCAGTTTTGGGCCCAGCTTCCTGGGATACCTCTCCCCAAATAGGATCAGAACCCCAAATGAAGTATCTAGATAAGCCCCCTTTAACCCTGAAAGGAGGATGTACACACTGATTGCTCCCCGCAGGGAACAATTATTTACACTGGGCTTGATAGCAGATAAAAGTGATTTTATTAAGTACAAGCAATAGGATTTAAGTGGTTGTAAGTAAGAACAGGCAGGGCAAAGTAGATTACAAATTTAAAATAACAGAAAACGCATAGTTAATTCTAACACTAAAACCTCAGTACTAACTTATTACAAATTCACCCTGAAACTGTTCTTATTCCAGCTAAGCCTTCAAACCAGGGAAGTTCCTCTCCCTGAGGTCTCTGGTTCACTCTCTTGGGAGTGCCATGCCAGCCCCAGACAAAGAAACTGTTAGCTTCCTATTGTTTTATAGATTCCACCTTTGGGCTGGAATTCTGTTTCTACATTCCATCCTTACATGGAAAAATCACAGCTGGCCAGACCTTACCAGTTGCGGTGTTGTCACATGACTTTCTAGGCCCAACCACTACTAAGATGTCAAGGACAAAAGAGGCTGTTGATAGTTGACCAGACCTTGTGGGAAACACCCTGGTTGGCTTACCTTTGCACTTTTAAAACCATAAACCATTCCATATATCTAACTTTATACACAAGAATTATACATACGCCAAAATCAGATAGACCGACCCAGCAGATGAAGACATGAAGATGGAGAGGTTACATGACATAATTTGTCCAAAGCATCTTTGAATGATGCATATTTGTGTCCGTAAGTCCATTTCATAAAGCAAGTGTCATGAGCTCCCAAGCCCAACTATTACAGTATCAGCAGCCAGAGCCTCAAGCCTTTAAATTGTGCTCAGCCTTCATTTTGCTAGAGTAAAGCCAAGCTCCATAAGACAGGCCCTCTATTCCCCAGTCATCCAAATAGCTGTTCTCTAAACAGGTTCCAGTTTGAATGCATCCTCCTTGAACATGAATGATCAGAACTATACAAAGTAGTCCAGATGAGATCTTCCCAATGCCTGATTTAATGGCATTAACACTAGGCTATCCCTACCTAATACAACCTAATATTGCATTTGCCCTTTTCACAGCCACGTCACAACTGGTCATCCTGTGATCAGCTCGTGCACCCAGGCCTCTGTCTCCTTGTCTGTTGTTTCCAGCGAATGAATCCACAGATTGTAGAAGACATTCTTCTGAGTACACCCTAAATCCATGGCCTTGCATTTTTTACTGTTGAAGTTTGGTCCATTTTTATCAATCAAGGTCATCCAGAACTTCCTGTATAATATCTCAACCCTCCTATGGACAATGCCTCCCAAATTTGGATCATCAGCCATTTCACTAGCACACTCCTACATTTGAGGTCACAGTCATTAACAAAAATATTGACTAAGATCGGTACCAAGACTGAGCCTTGATGGACTCCACTAATAACCTCCCTTCGGTCTAATAATTCACCTATCATCACAGCCCATTGCTTTCTTGCCTTTAGCCAGTCCCATCATCAGCTTACAAGCCCTGTAACGTTCTCCATGTTCTCTAATTTACCTAATAATTTATCCTATAGTACAGGGGTGGCCAACCAGCTATGTCTAGACTACACCCCTCTCTTGAAGGAGGATGTAAATTAGACAGGTCAAAATTGCAAATAAAGCTGGGATTTGAATTTCCCGTGCTTCATTTGCATAATGGCGACCATGCGTTCTATCAAAAATGGGTATTTTGAAAGTGAAACCACTGTCTAGGCGTGGTTCTTTGGGGGGGGGGGGACCCCTTTTTCGAAAGATCCTGTAAACCTCAATTTTTGAGGAGAACAGGATCTTTCTAAAATGATTTTTTTTGAAAGAACCGTGCCTAGACAGCAGTTTCACTTTCGAAATACCCATGTAGTCTAGACATGACCTTAGAGACGAAGAGCCAAAATAGCTATGGGTAGAGTACAAAGAGCCACATAGTATATATATTTATTTTTATCTATCTATCTAGATAGATATAGTACACAAAATGTAATGATAAATATAATATTACAGGACATTTCAGATAAAAAACAATAAAAAAGTCTAGTCCAGGGTTTCCCATCTATGGGTCAGGACCCAAATATGGGTCGCCATTACATTTCAAAAGTGTCTCCCCAGGTAGCTCTGCCCCTTCTCCCATTTTTGAATTGCCTTGGGTCACCAAGTCTTCCTGAATTGTTAAAATGGGTCCCCATCTGGAAAAGGTTGGGAACCGCTGCGAGTCTAGTCACTTAAAAAATTCATGGCCAGTCCATAGATCTTCAGAGAACTTGAGCAACCATCAAATTTTAAAAAAACAACTTTAATAATACGGTAATATTCTCACACTAAAAAAAAAAAAGCATCCCTACCATGTATTGTAAATTTAACACTTCTGCCCTACTATGTCTGTGAGTTTTTTTAAATTAAACTGAACTGAGAAGTAAATCAGCACAATTTGAAGTGCCTGTTTCATTTCAGTTTGTTGATCTCTGGTATGGCTTTCTTTTTTTTTTTTTTTTTTTTTTTGTTGTTGGTTTATTGGCTTGGCAAACAATAGCCTTTGAATTTTTTCTTTAAAGAAACACAGGCTGTGTCTAGACTGGCAAGTTTTTCCAGAAAATCAGCCGCTTTTCCGGAAAAACTTGCCAGCTGTCTACACTGGGCCACTTATTCCGGAAAAGCAGCCGCTTTTCCGGAATAACTTGAAAGCTGTCTACACTGGCCGCTTGCTTTTCCGGAAAAGCACGGACGATCTACTGTAAAATCATCAGTGCTTTTCCAGAAAAACTATGCTACTCCGGAAAAACTATGCTACTCTTTTCCAAAAGACTTGCACAAAAGGGCCAGATAGCTCTACACTGGGCCACTTATTCCGGAAAAGCAGCCGCTTTTCCGGA